GTCGAAATTCGGTACATCGTAATATTATTATCAAGTTCGTATATATGCACCTTCTGGTAACTTCCCTGCAAAAGTTCAAATTTTTCAAAAAAAAAAAAAAAAAAATAATAATTCATAGAAAAAATAGGGTTCATACAATTTCGTTCAAACTTTGCAAATCCTAATATTTGTATCAGAAAATGGACAACATCGGTACCCTCCTTCTAGTACATACCTTACAACGGATCAACATTTCGAATAACCACAACGCATACAAAATGTGAAAGAAGAGTCCAATTGTCTTCGAATTTTGTATACCCCAACATTTCTACCAACTATAGGTCCAGTATGAAGTTGGGATAGATCAAACCACTGCGTCTGGTACCCATACACAATATTGGTCCACTACTTCAGTCCACTTCTTACATTGTGCCACTTCAGTGTCACCTTCATAATGGGTGAATATTTTCAATAATTATAACGCAAGTCAAAATAAATGTTAATAAACCGAACTATTCTGAGGGTATATAAAAACTAATCGTGGGAATTTCAACCCTCTGCATCGGACCACTTAAAGATTTGACAGATACTAAAAGATATGTCAGCACATCCAAACTTTACAGTAGATCTAATGTTACTACCAATATTGAAATGTGAGAAGTTTAAAGTGAACTAGGAAATAACAACGCATTTTATGAAAGTTATGATTATTTTTTATTATTTTTGGGGCGTAAAGTTCTAGAAGAAGTGATCCATAAAAATTGTGGAGTACCTTTACATAAGGTCTATAGGAACATTTAACCTATAAAAAGTTTAAAGCTATAACAGAAGTTCCTATTACAAATACGAAATTTAAAACACAAGTACTCCACAAAATTGTTATAAATTCAATGGTTCTGAATGTGTGTAAAGAGAGTTACGCTCATTGAAGCACACATGTGGGCATTTAAGGGGCCCTGGAATAGTTTGTGTACACAGTTCAATAGAGAATTTGGTATTGGTCAATAACTGTCGTACAGACAGACCACTAAAGATGAAACTCATCCAGAGCTCCAAATGGGACTAAAAGTCCAAAACTATTACCAGTACTAGAGATTTTTTGGAAGGATATGAAATCTCCGCTGCATCGTATATTTTATAATTATAAAATCTTCTGATTGCTAACATTCATTGACACACAGCTGCTGTTCTCGCATAACCCTTTGACTGTAAAATATATCTTGAGTCGAGATCCAAATTTTGATTAGATGCTGACACCGGCCTATCCCCAATATTATAATAAAGAAAGAACCAGCATTTATCTTATAACTTAATTTGACAATAACTCCTCAGCAGATGAGTGCACCTGAACGCATAAGCATCTATTAGATAACTTCCTTATGATAATTCATATAAAATTTATACAATTTTTTTCGAAAAGAAGAAAATACACTTTCAATCCGGATATTATTTAACATTCACGTTCTAGGAGAACAGCAAGTTCTTAATTGACGTTATCAGATTTTTTATATTTCGAACGTTATTATCATTTTTTATATGTACACGAAATGCAATGAATCCATTAATGATTGTTAATAATACTCATATTAATGAAACGTACATATAACAAGTTTTAATTCCGTTTCCAGAAATTTAGAAGGTTTTTGAGTCCTTATTTTAGGTGTGATCCTAATTTATATTAAAATCGTCAATTCCATTTGTAGTGAAGACTACTTCCCTGGATTAAATGCATTAAATTTTTCTTTATAGTTTTAAATACCCCTTATAACCAATAGGATTTTCCGCCACTTTTATTGTAATTAACACAAGTTGTGTGTTTTCAATTTCGAATGCCTTGCAAGAATTTTGCATTCATTAAGAAATCCACAGACCGGCTAGATCTACTGTTACAGCAACACATTTTCAACAATCCAGAAAAGGCCCGAACAAATAAACTTGTTCACCTATTTATTTAACCACTAAATTACACACTGGCCCCTTAACTACTCCACTATATAGAGTGAGTGTGTGCGCTCGTGTGTGTGTGTGTGAGTAATCGAGTGAGTGTACCAATGCAACCGGACAGACGGGTAACCAACCCATCGCCACATTACCTCCACCATCATCACCACCACAAAATCCAGTCACACTTATTTGCGACATCATTGCAAAACTGAAATTGGCAAAAGAGTTACCCACCATTCAACGGACCCGCAAATCCATAGCCCCAAACATGATAAACCTATGCGAGTTTCTTTTCGTCGTCGTTTTTTTCGTAGTGAAAAACAAAAAATAGCATTCACATGTATCCATATTCCGTATTACAAAACAAATATAAAATTAAATAAACCAAAAGATAAAAACAAAGCGGCGAAAAAAACCAAAACGAATGAAAAAGCAAAACAAAAAACAAATTGTTATCTACACCAATCAGTGGATACAAAAGAAAAAAAAAAAAAACAAATCGAGCGTCCGTCAATGAATGCTGCATAAAATCGGTGGGTTACCTCAGTTGCCGGCTTTTTTTTAGAAAAGAGCGTGAGTATCTATGCCTTCTGTTTGGATAGTGGAGATTTCATAAATATGAATGTAATTGACGGAATATAGAATATACTTAGCTAAATATAGTTTTATGTTTTGTAAAATATTGTAATGCTATTCCATTTGAACTATATTTGGTTCCATGATTACGAAGACTTTCTAATTATATCCCAAGACTCCATGGAGTATGGATTTGAATTCTTGGGAGATGAGATAACGGTTCTAAATAAGCTATAATAAGTTATTTTTAACACGCTAAAGACTTATGTGAAAACACCAAAATCGAGTCAATGAACTTTAGTAGCCCATTATTCATGCCTGACTTATGTTGATTTCTTTGCACGGGATACACAAGTTTTAGCAAGTCAAAGTCATAAAATGTCGATTTTTTTAACTTCACTCTTCGAATCGAGATTTTCATAATTTAGTATATTATACGTTTCCATTAAAAAAAACATAGAAATTCTAACGTGCCTATCTCAACCATTTCGAGAGAGGTGCAGGTGACAAGAAAATTTGATTTTTTTTTAATAATGGATAATTTAGTCAGCTTAGATCGCTCGGTGGTATACGAGTTGTTATAACGCAGATTATAAGATGAAATAAGTTTTTCAACGGAATTTACAACATTCAGAGCAGAGCACTACAATTCGAGTTCGATCAAGCCGACTAAATCTGATCGAATGCCTTAAAGCTGATCACAACAAACCTAGTACCCTTGTAGACAACATAACCTCAAATTTTCGAGCCGACATTTATCTTGCTAAAATAATGGGTTGGTAATCTGATATGTAAGGAGTATTTTTGTTCGGAGAACAGACTGCTGTTGCGAACCGCATCAAAGACCTCTTCGAATATCAGATTTACGGATTTCATTGAGATAATTCCTACAACTCGAGTATCACTGATCTAATAACAACATCCTGAATATGTAAAGTCGAGCTCTATCTCTCTAATATCATTGGACAGTTACAAGCCGAACAGGATTGAGAGCCGACTACTTTAACCCTAGCACCACCAACGCGACTATATAAGCCAACTTATATTAATCATAGCACAGTTCTGCTAATTTTCACTTAGCAGCGAAACTTGCTCGAGCACATGACGGCTCGAGAAGTGGGAGTTTTTACGAAGACTACACTTAATTTATTTGTTTTCCTCTGTACCCACCCTACAGAATCGCATAAAATAGAGCAAGAGTAAGCTTCATATAGAAATAGTGCTCGGTAGAATCTGCTCACTTCCGAACGAATTTTGCTTCAACTCAAAAACGAGTAAAACAGACTCTTTCCTATTCAAACGCCAACGAGAAATTGAGTTTGCTCGATTTTTTCCTGTCCCCACTAGCACTTCGGCTCGAATTCAAGTGATTTTCACTTTTTTTAATGTGAGCGATTTTTTCGGGGTTCTAATATAAACAGATTACAATGTGCGACAATTTTTGGTCATGGTCTGGGTAATTTCAAATGAAGGTTATTTTATTCTGTTAGTAGATAAAAATCCCAAAAGGTTTTTTTGGATTCCCAGGCCAAACTCCTTTAGGGTCCATTATATGTACCCTTAACTATAGATAAAGGGTACCAAATATTTTGCTCTTTACTTCTCAACATTTTAGTTAGAGGTTCAAATTTTAACACAGGCCTTTGGCTTACATGTAGAATCATTTGAACGAAATATGGACCATGCCGATCCACGTTTTGGTGTAGCCTTCACATAGGAGTATCTCCCGATTTCAAGTATTTTTCTACATTTCAACCATATTTTATATTCCATATTCGGCAAATTTAGGTCATTTAAGTTCTAATTGAAAATAAACCATCCCTGAAAAAATATCAATATATGCTCACGTTTTGGTGGAACACTTATATGAATGTAGTCCCTAATTTCAGGTATTTACTGGGCATGGGCACATTTTTCAATTTACTTGGCATCTCGGTTTTCAAGAGGGTAGTAAAATTTTTTGCAGAATATTTACAATGTGGGCCTAAAGGTAACTCCTGATTTTACTTATTTTGCGGGTCTTGACCACATTTTCCAATAAAGGCGAATTTAAGATATTTTAGTTTAAATTATCAAGAGTCTGTCAAAAATTATCTGTAAAGGTCCACGTACCCATTACATAGTATATCTCTTCAGATTCGGAGTATTTAAATCACATTTTTGAATGTAATTGTTTGGAAATCTGATAGGAAAGTGTTTATATAGGTCCTGGCTTTCGTGTAGTCCCAATAATTCGAAATATGTCCAAATATTTTTTTAAAGGTTTAATTTCCTTATCATGAAGGGTAGAAAAGGTTTGGCTTTCTTAATTAAATAAATATATAACTAAATTTCAAAATATTTAATATAAAACGTCTTCCAAGCTGATGTACTTTTTATGGAGGGTAAAAAAAGTTCGACCTCTACCAACTTCATCAATTCTATTTATCTTTACACTTAAGCTCCCCTTTCGTGTAATCTACATCAAACTCAGATTCATGGAAAATATTTGAGTTACTCACTTTACTGTAAATTTCAGTATATCCCATAGCGATATGTGGCTCATGTTGTTGTTGTTATTTCACGTTGTAGCTTCACTCCGGTTTGATGAGTTTTTAGTTTTCGATGAGACACTAAATAACAATAACAACAACAACAGAAACTTGTTCCGAGAGTTCTTTTGAATGGATGAGCGGATTTGCCGGTTATATCAATATTACAGCAATACAAAAAAATTCGATTGGTTCATAAGCTGGTTGTAATCACAGCACCACACGAAAGGTAAATATAAACAAATGTTAAAACAAAAAAACAACTTCGTCACACAACCGTCCCAAAAACTCAATAGCTATGTGGGTTCTTGTCACAAAAATTTACAAACATTAATATTTAATTTAACACCACAATTTTTTTTGAAGATTCCAAACCCGATTTTTTTGTGGGGGGTGTGATAATAGCAAATGGCCAAATATGGAGATTTATTTATTTTCTCACACAATTCACGTTTCTGCCTGCGGTCTTTGCGTCAATGCACAAATTTTAATGGGTCGATTTTGCATTAATGGCACCCGCTTTGCCGTAAACGGAAAATACGCTTTCCTAGATGCGAAACACAAAACAATCCGAGACAATAAAACGCGTCAAACATAAACACACAATACCGAGGTTTAGTTTTTTTTTGATATCTTTTGTTTGTTGTTACACAATCGACAATTATTATTATTTATTTAAATGGTATTCGGGTGATATTTTTGTGTTTTTGTTTTTTTTAGTAGGCCACAATCCGTTCCCTGTTCCGCACGCTTTCAAAGTTATGCGATGACTATGCACGAAATGAGGAAGTCTTTCCGAATCAAATGCTCTTTAAAATTTGTGTTAATAGAAAATAACAAATGTTACATTAACAGTAACTATTGATCAGCTGTTATTGTGCGATCACTTAACAGAGTGATGGGGGGTTTTGTTGTTTCGAACTGGGTGGCAATGCTTGAAGTTTAACAGTATTGTTAAGCTTTCGATGTTGCATGTTAATAACATTTTTGGCGGGGTTTTTAACATACTTTTATCAACATTGCATCGATCGAACTTACACAATGGGAGAAAAACTTAATACGACAGAACTTGCATATTACTTTTTATAAACATGCAGAACGTTAAAACTTTAGTTTTTAAATAGAGTATCCATGTTCTCAAGGGTGAAATAAAAAAAATCAACAAAGTCAAACGCCATAATTTTTACATTTTTTTAATTCTATTGAATGAAAGCAAAAAATGTCGGAAATAGCATCAACTTTTAGAATAAATTTATATTTGTTCGAATTGGTCACCTTTGGCACGAATTATTGCCTTCGAACGGCCAATGAAACCGTCACACGCTGCCCGAATGTTGCTCTGCGGTATTCTGGCCCATTCCCGGTGAATCACTTGCTTGATGTGATCGACACTTTGGTATTTTTTAGTGCCAACCTTTCTTTCCAAAATACTCCAGACACAATAGTCCAAATAGCCTACAACCCGGAGATCATCCCTATACAGAACGCCGAACACCAACGTTGTGATTACCCGCCATTCGTCAACAAACCAAAATTCCTACTATGCACGAATTGTTACGAAACTGAATTCCAAACCTATTTTCCCCGATCACCCTTATACGTATTGAATCCTCGAAGTCATAGACACTTGCATAGACAATTTTCTGGCATTCTGACAATGTCATTGACAAATGTCGCTGAAATCATGAAAATGACGAATATAGGGAGGCACCGTTACATGGGCGTTTACGATATCGAGGACCTTATTGTGTGGAATTGAACAATGTGCCTAAAATCATCAAAATACCGAAAATGTGGGGGGGAGTTCCGTTATATGGACCGATATAGCTCATCTTCGAACCTGACCTGCCTGCGCAATGCACCATAAACACCACCCCAAAAAGGTAAAACGCGCCATGTGAAGGGCTTTGTCCTGTTGACAAAAGCAACAACTATGGCAAACAGTGTTAGTCTTCTTAATGTCTTATGATCAGACTGGTATCAGCCTATACCTGATGTTGAAAATAAAAATTGAGATTCCCGGTCGACGATTTTCGGTTTTACAACAGTTAGATGTATTCTACACTGAGGAATAATATTTGGCTGCCATTATCTTTAACGAAATGTAGCCAAATATGACGGCTAACATAATCACCCAAATCTATTGCCGGAGTCAGTGCAAATCCATAAGGGCGATGGTGAACATGTGACTAAAAAATATTTTCACATTTCTGCCGATTAACTTAAATTTTAGTTCGCTTCATAACGTGGATCGGCCGAATTTAATGCCTTTTTTATTTGCACCCCACAAATAAAGCTTCAAATATTGTTTATATAAGGTCTTATCATTCCGATAAGTTACAAAGCAAATTCCAGTCACAATATAGCCTATATGTCAAGGGGCCTGCTATAAATGCGTGTGAGGGTACGGAGTACAGAATTACTCACATTTACTGCCAACGTCATGTTGTTCCATATCACTGTCATATATCATCCAAATCTGATGTGATTTTTCAGGTGCACATTAAGTGTTCATGGCGAGTGCTTGAACTCTGCGGTGATTAGAAATCAACGACCTGTGTTTTTTTTTTTCAAAGCGATTATTATTTGTATTTTTTGTAGAAAACCTTTCTTATCAAACAACGAAGCTTTCAAGGCAATGGCGAAAACACACCGGTGTGTATCAGCATTTAAACTGCCAACAAATGCTGATTAGAAAAGAAACGCCTTGCTAAATAAACATATGACCAACCGATGAAGATATGATTGAAGTACGCCAGCGAGTGCCTCTTCCACTTTTTCTAATTATAATGTTTTCGTGTGATTTAAAAGTAAACCGCCAAGTGCTAGAGTAAAAAAGTAGTAATTGCAAAAAATATATTTATAAAGAAAAACACTTCAAAATTTTGATTTGTATTTGTAAATTTCTAATTGAATTTATTGGTATTGGAGGTTAAAATTTGACGTTTGATAAATGTATTTGTTTTTTAACAGTTTCTGTTGATAAGATGTTGTTTTCAAAAAGTTTTGTCTGTTAAAATTAAAGTTTTTTTAATTATTGTTTTTATTTTACAAAAATGACGTCTAAAGTCCATAAGTGACATGGTGTTATTGATTACTTTTTAAAGAATAGATGATTGTTGAAAAATAAAAAAACGTTTGAAAAAAATCATGAAAAATATTGTCAAATATTATTGATTATGGAATTTCTAAAATTTACTATTAATTCCGGTCAAAATATCACTAAAAATATTGGAATCGGCGTTACTGATTCCAATATTTGGGATTAGATTTTAAAAAACCACCCCACATTTTTATACCCTACACCACAATGTTGTATGGTTATGTGCATTATGATTCGTTATGTGCATGTGTGTATCATGGAGAAAGAAATATTTGTTTGGCTCACGGACGAAGCCTATTAAAATTTGTGCGAATCGGTTTAAATTTGGATATAGCTTCCATATATATATACAACCGATTACGGGTTAATTATGCACCAAATGGCCAATATCTGTCTAAATGACCTGCACTTTAGCACATCCAACTGTATTCATTCTAGAAACAAGTGCTTCAAATTTGGTTAAGATCGATTCAGATATAGCCATAGCTTCAATATATGTTTCATGCGATTTGATCTTGAAGTCTTTCATATCCGTAATATGCACTCCACAAAAAGAATATTTGATAACGGACATCAGATACAGCTCGAAAATACCTCTACCAAATTTTATCGAGATGGGTTTGCATTTTTATATACCTTTGATATACAGGGTGAGAAGAAAAAAATGCAACTTCAGACTGCTATCATATCAAAGCCACTCGTCCGACCGCTAATAAAATTATTCCAGTGACTGCTCATTATATTGTTTACAAGCGTACAAAAACATTTTGGTAAGAATTTTTCAGAAAAAAAAGATATGCGTGATGGAATTCAAGCGTGATAGTGTGATTTCTTTATATTTGGCTGGAAAACCACAAGTGGCTATATTTAGAGCACTCCGGCATTTAAATGTGAATAAATCTTTTGTATCTCGTATCATGGATCGTTACCGTGATACTGGTAGCGTAGCCCGACGTCAAGGAAGTGAACGGAAAAAAACAGCAACATCAGTAGAAATGGTTCGAATAGTAATGAAACGACTTGATCGAAACCCGTCAAGAACTTACACCGCAACAGAAAGAAAATAGACTCAAAAGAGCTAAAGAGTTGCTTCGCTTGGTCGAAAGTGGTGAAATGCCGAATTTGGTTTTCTCCGATGAGAAACAATCATTGTCCAGCAGTTTGTAAACAAACAAAATGATCGTGTTTACTTGCCAAGGCAGTCGGCTGAAAATGTGTACCTTCGGTTGGCCACCAGAACCCAAGTCGGCCGTCCATGGTAATGGTGTGGGCCGCCATAACAGCCGATGGTCGCTCTTCGCTCGTATTAATCGACCGTGGCGTCAGAATAAATGCCGAGTATTATCGCGAAAATATTCTGGAGGGTGTATTAAAGCCTTGGGCTCGCAAACATTTTGGCCGCAGACCTTGGACATTCCAATAGGACTCAGCACGGTCGCACTCAGCACGCGCCACCCAAGAATAGTTACAAAATGAGGTTCCCCGCTACATTTCCAGAGCACAATGGCCCCCAAAATCTGCGGATACCAATCCGTTGGACTATTGTGTCTGGAGTATTTTAGAAAGAAAGGTTGGCACTAAGGAATACCAAAATGTCGATCATCTCAAGTTAGCGCTTTGCCGGGAAATCTAAACTTATTCTAAATTTTGAGGCTATTTCCGACATTGTTTGCTTTCATTCAATAAAATTAAAAAAATGTAAGTGGACTGAATTTTGGGACTTCTGACGGAATTCAGCCCAGAAAGAAGTACTTCAAATTTGGTGAAAATCGGTTCAGATATTGCTTGAGCTGTTACATGCGTAATATACACTCCACAACATGGATCATTGGTACCAGACATTAGATACAGCTTGAAAATACTTCCGCCACATTTTATCGAGATCGGTTTAGATTACTTTCGCTATGCATCTTCATCCGATTTTACGGTTATTGTCCACCATATATGTAATATCAGCCCAAATTGAATAGATTTTTCATATTCAACCGAATTTTTCCATGTCGTGAAACTCGGTCCGGTATATTTATTGCCTCAATAAATAGTTTATAATATTATCCTAATCGAAGTCATATCATGCACTATAGAGCAATATTATTTGGTTCTAGAGGTACAAAAGCCCCAAATTTGTTGAAAATCGATTCAGAGTTAAATATAATTTCCAAATAGTCGCTACTCTAAAGCCATGATACGCATTCAAATAAGGTTCATACTTCTTCACATAAATTCCCAATATAAAAATTTTTTTGTTGCGGGAGCTCTTCTAAATACCCATAGTGGTGTAGGGTATCACATAGTCGGCCCCACCCGACTTTTGAACTTTCCTTATTGGTTTTATCATGAATTCGTCATTGGGAGTATGCACTTACCAAGCTTCCACCAAGAGTTGTCATAATTAATTGTGCTGAAATTTTGCCAGGGTTGGGGAAAGTACCTCGCCTAAAAATAAAACACATTTTGTTTTCTGATTTTTTCAAGTTAATTGTTTCTTGTTTTTTATTGATTCCATAATTTTACATTCTGCTTTGCCAAGAAAAATTGGTAATACACATTTTATTTGATTTGGCTTTCGATTTCCATAAATTCATTTGTTAATTTTCTGTTTTTCACAATTAGAGAGATAGAGATTTGGAGTAGAATAATCCTGGTGCTCAATAAACTGCATTTATTTTCTTTAGGTGTGAATATGAATAATTTCCTTTATTTTGTCAATATTTGGTTTTTTAATCTTTTGTTTTTGTTTTTTTGTGAATGGTTAAAATAGCCAATGTCTTATTCGATTATAAGCAAAATAATGTTGATTATTTTAATTGTTGTTGTTATTATTATTATTATTATGGACTTATACACATAAAATATTTGTTATATAAAATTTGTTGTTTTTGTTTTAGTTTTTTTCAAATACGGAGGGTCATTTATTTCGGTTTTTATTTTGGAGGTTTAATTCTTTTTGTTTTGTAATTTCTTAGTTTTCTTAGAGACTAGTCAATGAATAGTTTAATAAGAGGTTAACAATTTTCATGTGTGGCGAATTGAAGATTCTTAAAATAAAAATTAATAATTTAAATAAAATAATTTCAGAATTATAAAAATTAAAGACAAGTTTCCGTAAAACGAAGGAATTTAAAAATCGATAAAAATTTGAACATCGATTTTTTTCATTCGTCCTACCAAAACATGTCAAATTTAGCCATTCGTTTTTTTGTATTTTTTTCCAATAAAAAAAAAATGCAAAAATTTACATTTGAAGTTAAGTTAAAAATATTGGAATTTTTGTTTTGTTTTTTTTTTTTTTTTTTTTTTTTTGGGAACGGAAGAGATATGTAACTTATTCTAAAATGTAGAATTAATATTAAAATCTAATGTTCTTTGTCGTATCGCATTTATCATCACCAATGTCATTTTAATGAGGTTTTCTTGTGGGTGAAACGACGCCGTTGTGCGTTTCAAGTTTTAAAAATATTTTCATAATTTTGTTGTTTGAAAGGTACTTAAGTTGCGTCTTCTTGTTTTTTATATTTTCATAATTCTTTTTTTTTTCAAAGTGAATAAAATGTACTCTGTTTTCTTTTGTTTTTACTGAATCTCATTTCTATGCTACGCTTATAAGTTAGAATAGTAACTTTTAATCCTTTAATTGGATAGAGTTTTGTGGTTAGTATATAACCAGAAAGCTTTTCATGTTTTTTCCATTTTGTTTTTATTTGGGCTTAATTTAATCATAAATCACAAACGAGACTTGTCACAAAACTTATCCACTAACTTTGTCGAGTCTAGAGAAAAAGCATAAACTTTGGAAAATAAAAACAAAAACGGGGGGATAAAGGCACAAAGCTTTGAAATCTCTCAAAGTTGTGGCCTTATCTCTGGCGCTACAAAAAACTGGCCTTAAACGCCAAAACAAGGAAAAATAAGAAAAATAAATAACATAACTTTAAGGGGGGCATATTTCCCCAAAAGAAAGCTTTACTCTTACAGACCAACAAACTATATACTACTATAATTTGGTTAAAAGTTTTAAAAAACTAACTTAAAAAAAGAAATAAGTTGTCATTTCAATTTCGTACTGGGGGAGAAGGGATGGAAGTTTGAGGAAAGGCTGGGGCAAGGAAGCCCTAAGTATTTTTTATTTCTTTTATTTTTGTATAAAGCTAGCTAAGCGAATGCTCTACAGTAATCAGCCTATGTGCCAAACGAAAATAAACTCCTTAAAAGCTTTTCAAGCTTCTATGTTTAACTAACCGCAAAAGGAGCTTTTTTTACATACCCTTAACAATACAAAACTAAGGACTCTTAAGGTTTTTTTTTTTGGTGTGTTTGCCTTCTCTTTGGCTGAACGAAAATTATTCAACCCGATGCCAGCAAACGAAAAAAAAAAACCAAAATTCTACCAAAAAACAATGTTTGTGCGTGTGTTCACCTTAAAAGCTTCATAGCAATTCGTTGCGTGTGTAAAAACTTTCCCATACCATTAACTTCTTGATATCGGGCACATCTATAACCTTCAATTCATCCGTTATATTAAGGCACTGTAATTGGCGTTTCTCCACAGCTGCCTCCGACACCGGCTTCCAGATGTCCGGATGATCGGGATCATAGTTGGGATCACCATGGGCAGCAAAATGGGTCCACATGCCAACCAAACGTTCGATGCATTTGTACTCTTTGGTGTGTTTCTTAAGTTTACGCGCTACCGAGTTGTAGAAGAGATAGGACAGATCGTCGCCGTGACAGGTGCCGCGTACCTTTTTGCCACAGCTGATGATGCGCAAATGATTGAAGTGTTTCGAATCGAAATCGAAACGATACAAATAGGTGGGAGCTTTGGCATGTTCCATACGAGAGAGTACGGTACGATAGATGGGAAACCAAAAGTATTCGTGCGAGACCATCTGAAAGGAAAAGGGGGAGATGGTAGAATTAAATAAGGGTTGGTATTACAAAAAAAATTATATATATATAAATTTGAGGTACTTCAATTTCGATATAAAAATTTATAGGAAAATGTGGTTAACAGCTGAAATGTCTAAGGTCGGAATTAAATGTTTGTTGCTCTAAAACAGAAAAATATCTGAAATACTAATTTCCTCAATAATGCCAATAATTGGAGGATACCGATACCTTTAAGAAAATTGGCGAAATTGTATTGAGAACTTTTTTGGACAGAAATCGCGACTGTATTATGCTAAAAAAAACCTTAAATAAGGAGGAACCCTAAAAGGCTCTACCAAAAACTGATAGAACTGGAATTATCCAATTGGCAAATGATTATGGAGGCACACCTGACTTTTTAGGATATTTACAAATTAATGGAACTGTATTTTTTATTTATTTATCTGTTTTTTTAATTTTTTTTTTGGAAAAAAAAGTTTTCCACTTAAAATACCAAAATACATGGATCTATTTGTAAATTTATATATTTGTTAATCCCTTTTGGCCAGTACAAAATACTTTTAGGCTTAGATAGTTTTAACAAAACCATAATTCCATTTTTCTAATTGGGCGCCATGTAACCAGGAACTAGGTACTACCTTTATTTATTTATTTATTTATTTATTTATTTATTTATTTATTATTATTTTTTTTTTTTTTTTTTTTGAATCAGGATGTCTTAGCTCCGACCTTAATGTATGGACTTATAATGGGAAAGTGTACAGCAATAACAAGTCCCCAGAAGATCCAAAATCATTTTTAGGCGTTAGTGCAGTTAATGTGTGAATTCTTGAGTCTTATGGCGTGCTATTAAAGCTTATGAAGTATCTATAAAACGGGTCCATGGTGGAAATTTTTTTAATTTTATTTGTATGCTTAGCAGCGTAAGACTTGGGACCTAGGAAGAGCCCGTCCGAATTTTAAAGCATTATTTGTCTTGTGGTCTTCTAGACATACTAATTTTAAGGATGACCAGTATATGAAGAAATATCTGAGAAACCAACATGAACTCAACATCTCTTGAACATATTTTCAAAAATTAAGTCCTTAAATAGATTTCTGAGGGTCCTCAAAGGTACAATACAATTCAGGACACTTTACAGATATCAATTCTTTCGATAGCATTTCGTTATTGAAAGACCTTCTAAGGGACTTATCGTTTTATGGTGCTTCTGTGGATAAAATATCCTTTAGGGGATTCCCTGGAAAAAAAATTTTTGATATTTTTTCGGTCGGTTTTTCAATCGTTAAACGATTTTCGAGAGTATTCCACAGAGATAATACTTCCTGAAAGTGTTGTAAAAATTTACATCAGAACTAAAAATGAAATTTAAACGTGGAGTGTTCTTCATTCGGCAAAAGATTTTTTGAGAGTATTCCGCAGATGGAATGCTTCCTGAAATTGTTAAAAAATGGGATACCTTATTATAGACACGTTACAGATATAAATTAATTCAAAAGTCTATTTTTTATAGAAGACTTTCTAGAGGTCTCTCTCGTTCTATGAAGCTCCATGTGGTTAAAAAGAAGCCTTATAGGGGATCCTCTAGAGAGTAAATTAAAAATAGCTCTCTGGAGGGTTTCCTGTCGTTAAACGATTTTTACGTGTATTCCGCAGGTTAAATACTACCAGAAAGTGTTGTATATGTAGGATACCTTAATACAGTTTTTTTTTTTTTTTTTTTTTTTTTTTTTTTTTTGGAGGCCCTTTATAGAGAAAAAAAATTCGATAGTTCTCTTTGAGGGTTCTTCAATCCGTAAACGATTTTTAGGGCATTCCCAAATGGAATATTCAAATAAAATTATTGTAAATATGGGATACCTTATTATAGGTTTCTTTAAATGTTAGATTTTTTTTAAGTTTAGTCAACCTTTGAGAGCCAAAAATCTACTTCAGAACTCAAAGCGAAATTTGAACCTTCAACTTACCAATAAATATTCATGTAGGGTTTCAATACTTGGAAAATTATCACCATAATATGTTGTGCGCAGCTGATAGCCATATTCCTTGCACAACTCACTATCCCGATCCATATTCAATTCCAGGGGCACAACATAACGGCAATCGTTAAGTTCATTTAGCAATTTCGGCTTATTTTTGGTATCTGAAAACAAAAATACACAAATTTTTATGAAATATTCTCAACGTCAATAACTTATCCCCCTCCAACTTACCGGCATAGAGTAGCAGACCCTCATTGGAAACACCACCAATAATCATGGGGATATTATTACTCCAAGCATTGCGCATCATTTCAATGGGCTTGGTGGGCACTACACAATGATCAGTGACATAGGGTTCAATAACCGGACCGAAAGAGAATCCAATACGTTCCCGTTTCTCCTCATCAGTACACAAGTCTTCATTGGCCTTGACAATGTCGGCACCCTTGGCATTTTTCAAGAATTCAAAAACGTCTTTTTCATTGTTTTCTCCCGTATAGCCAGCGGTTACAGCCAAACGATATGGCCAATTACGTTGGGGTGTCTGAGCCCATGGGGACAAGACCGTACCCGACATACATATGGCCTTGTGGAAGAGGCCTCTGGTCTGTTCCGTCAACATCATGTAATGGACCGAGGCACCACCAGCACTATCACCAAACAGGGTAATATTATTTGGATCACCACCGAAACGTAAGCAGTTGGCCTTGACCCATCGCAGAGCCATTACTTGATCCTTGAGGCCTGCATTGCCGGGCACATCAAATTCCGGCTCCTGCATGCAGAGGAAACCAAAGGGTCCAACTCTATAGGTGATGGAAATGATAACAACATCTTCGCGCAACAAATAATCTGGACTGTAGAGATCGCGTGAAGCCTCGCCGAATTGAAAGCCACCACCGTAAATCCACACCATGACCGGCATGGGTTTTATGGGTTCAAGCTAGAAATTTAGAAAACCGAAAAATTATAAAAAAATGTTTTATAATTAAGAAGTTGTTGCGACTTACATTTTTAGTGTACACATTAAGATATAGGCAATCCTCCGAACCATCTGTCATTTGAAAAACAAAATGCTTTTGCAATGGCTTGGGTCCCGTAGAGGTACAGCTGCGCACCTCAGTCCAGGGCTCTGGTGGCTGGGGTGCCTTATAACGCAACTCACCCAATGGTGGTTTGGCAAAGGGTATCTTTTCAAAGGAGAAATAGGCATCACCATAAATCGATTTGCGTTTTACTCCCTTAACTGGCCCATAAATGGTGGAAACAATTGTCTTTTCTTTGCTGCGATAGCGACGCTGTTGAACTTTGAAGTCGACCATTCTGAAAGAAGAGAAAATATATAAAAATATAAGAAATGTTGATTGGAAATGCAATATTCGTAAAGACTAGGGGATAATACGGATTGTTATAAAAAAATAAATTATTTGCTGGATAAAAAAATCGATTCGGTTTGAATGAGGTCAGAATAAATGAAAAATCAATTGTGAAGTATACAAGTTTAAATCAAGGTTATTTTATGGTATTTCAACAACTGAGGTTTTTGCCAAGTTAACCGCCTCTATGAACATTTATTTGGAATTGACAGTCCACTGGTTTAACTTAACCCGATAAGCTGTAGCCGAGATAGAAAATTCCTATAAAATATCATATCGAACCAGAAACTAAACTACCAAAAATGTCTAACTGCCATAAAAATATTTAAAAAAGAGATTCATTCTCAATTTGTAGTTTTCAATTGCAAACGAAATACCCCCACTTCAAAGAACTTACATCGATATTTTATTTTATTTTTCCAATGCATTAGCATGTAAACAATCGCCCATCATAGCCAAAGTTTTATTCGTGGAAGAGACCACAACATTTGGTCCGGTTTCCCATTCATAAAGTTTTTTCTTTTTTTTTTTGTTTTTGTTTTCGGGAAAAATTTGCAAACTAAACAAAAATCATTTGCAGCTGTTGTGGTATTAAGGTTATTCATGAAATGTTTTGCCGTTTCCCAAAAATGGCATTTCTGTGTTCAATGACAAATTCACACATCACACACAAACAAATATACATACACATAGATATTCACCAAGGAATATCGCATAGAAGCTTCAAGTGATGGCAGCTGATAGTCTGACAGTCAGCGAGTCAGTTTGTCGGGGAAAATGATTTCAATTATTACAAGTAATAAATTTGAACAATAATGGCAGAGAATGAAATTCCGCCACTAATGTCAGTTTATTGGTTCATTGAACGAGGTTGGATGGGGAAGTTTTCGCAAAAAGAACATGAACTATTAATTTATTTCTAAAACTAATTAAGAATTAGAAAATTGCAGCTAAAATGTTATTTAGCAAAATTCAGAAATTTTGAATATGGATCGCAGCTGGTACTTGGCTGAGTTTTTGAAAGGGCCCCACTAAAGCAGAGCCATATTTGCTCATTTCCACTGGGGAGCGAATCTTTCTCTCGAACAGGATTGCTCGAAGAGTGGGAGTTTTTTATATCCTACACCACATAGTGGTAAGGATATTATGTCTTTGTATGGGTTTGTAACATGGAGAAGGAAGCGAGATAGGCCCATAGTTTTGAGAATGTTCATAGAATCACTTTCTGAGTCGATTTACGTATGTCAGTCTGTCCATGTATTTTTTAAACAAAATGCAGTTCGCATTTATTATCCAATTGAAATGAAATTTTGCAAACAATATTTGTTTGGCCCAAGAACAAACCCTGTTAAAATTAGTGATAATCGCACGAGATTTAGATATAGCTCCCATATATCTTCAACCGATTTCGGGTTAATTGTGTACCAAATGGCTAATCGAAGTCGAAATGATCTGTATTTGGCAAGTAAAAAAATTTAGAAAATCAGTTCAGATATAGGTATAGCTTCCATATATATGTTTCATCCGACATGGGGTTTTAAGTTCCTCACATGCGTAATATGCACTCCAGAAGAGTGATATTTGGTACCGGACACCAGATACTGCTCGAAAATATCCCCATCAAAATTTTTTTTTGAGTTTGTTCATATTAGGATATTGCTCCCAAATATATTTTTACCCCATATCAGGTTTATTGTGCACAAAATGGACTTAATTTTGGCATTTCCGAGTGAACTTATTCTATAAACTAGTAATTCAAATTTGGTGTAAATCGGTTCAGATATAGCTATAGCTCCTATATATATGTATTATTCGATTTGGGGTTTAAAGTCCCTCACAAGCGTAATATGCATTCGACAACAATGATATTTGATACCAAATATCTAATAGTGCTCGGAAATACCTCTGCCAAATTTTATCAAGATCGGTTCAGATTGGGATATAGGTCCCATATATATCCTCAACCGATTTCGGGTTAATTGTGCATCAAATAGCCAATATCAGTCCAAATGACCTGAATTTTGGCATATCCAACCGCATTTAGTCTAGAAGCAAGTACGTCAAATTTAGTGAAAATCGGTTCAGATATAGCTATAGATTCCATATATATGTTTCATCCGGTGTGGTGTTTAAGTCCCTAAAATTCGGTAACCAATATCTTTAACCGATTTCGGGTTAATTATGCACGAAATGACTAATAAATGTCAAAAAGTCCTGAATTTAGGTACATCCGACGAATTCAGTATAGAAGCAAGCACATTAAATTGGTGAAAATCGGTTAAGATATAGCTACAGCTTCCATATAAATGTGTCAACCGATTTGGTGTTTAAGTCCCTCAAATTCGTAGTATCCATCCGTAGTATATCTTATAAAGCTCGGAAATATCTCTGCCAAATTTTACCGAGAACTACTAAGATTTGGATATAGCTCCCATATATATAACCTTAATCCCATTTCATGTTTATTGTTCAAATAATGGCTAATATCAGCCCAAATGGAGTGAACGTATGGGACGTACAACTCGGCTCTGATATATACTTTTTTAATATAATCCTTAATATAATCCTTCCCCAGCACCTTTTAAGTATAACTTTTCCAAAACGTACAATTTGGTACTGTTATTTATTGTCAGTTACTTCTAAAATTTCAAAACATCATAAAAGTATTTCATTTTCAAAATACGACGCTCCACACCATTTTTTTTTTTTTTTTTGAAAAACTTTCGAGTCGACCCTCGCAAATTGTGCTGATCACCAGCAATGGCATTTCAATTGCAATGAGTGGGCTGTTGAATGCCGAAGCTGAAAATTGTTTGTTTAGCTAAACAACTAAAAGCGGCAGACAAAATCGAAATAACCGACATAAAAATGACATCAATCCAAGTTGAAAACATGAGATATGGCTTCTAATCGCACCGCGCTGTTGAATTTATGTCCAAACCTAGCCGGGCAAATAAATTGAAATCTCTATCGTTTTGTTGATACTACTGCTGTTGTTGTTGTTGCTATTGTTGAGTTGCCTTATGGAAATTGAATATTTCATTTAAATAAAATTAAATGAATATCTTTGTCTGTTCATCACAACTAGCATTTGGATACGAAACGTGCAGATTATCTGAAAGTCTGCTTGAGAGGGAAGGTATACTGTGACGTATGAGCGAACATGTTTATGTGTGCGTGTGTGTGTTTGGACAAATTTTATGCATAATAATGAAAATGACACTTGGGATTATAGATTAAGGCGATTAAAATTTATGATAGTTTCAAAAAAAAAAATGATAAGTTATTTTTCTGCTGATTTCAAAAAGGGAATCAGGATGTATTAAGCCATGACAAAACATAATAATTTTGCAATGAGAAGAGGGCTTGAGGATTTTAAACGTCTGTTTTCATGAAATAGATATTTGCATCCACTGAAAATAATCCGTCATGATAGGTTGGGTAAGTGGCATTGGCATAAGTCCAATGTCAGCAAATGCAGTTGAATGGCAGGATGAGAGACAGAGGGGATGAACACTAATTTCGTCAACACAACATAATTGTTTATAAAGAAATACCTTTCATAGATAATATGCATTTGTAATTGTAAATAAATTATTTATTGTAGCAACATAAATTTATTTATTATTATTTGGGCCAAACAAAGCCACATTTTGAAACAAATTATAAAAAAAAGTTCCGTTTATAACTGTATTTGTGCATTAAATAAAGCTAGAAAATGTATAATTCACTAAATGTACCAAAATAGTTATTGTCAGAAAAAACCAAAATTTATTTATTTATTTAGTTTTTTTTTTTTGTTTTGGAATACAGGTAGCCCGAATATACTGTAAAATTTCAGATATTTAAAAAAAGATCAAAATAAATTAAATATAAAGCTTTTTTAATCCTCCTATAAAATTATTCAAATAACGTTTTGGTAATATTATTTCGTTATCAATTTACAGTCCATTCCCCTGTGACATTGAATTGAGAATTTTAGTCCAAATATTATACCCCCGTACAATTCTTGCCCATTTCAAAAAACACAGTATTTTGCCTAACGCTACCTCAAAACAAGTTTACCCCAAAATCGAACTTTGAAATTTCCAAAACCATTTGCTAATAGAAATAAACTAGTTTCCCATACCGTTTGTTTCTTCAGTAATTTCGGCTGTTGAAATGGAACGAAGCTTTGGCTGGCATGACTAATGCTGTGTGAATAAACTTTACAGTTTCGTCAAATGATTAATGAAGCAAACAGCATTAGAATAGACAAAGCGTGATTTAATGATTATGTATATTGTGTGAATATATTAATCTGGTTAACAAAAGAATGATTTATATGTGGACGTTGGAAATAATGCCCAGAATCCCCTATGGTTTCGAAGGGAATAAACTGGCTCCTAATTTTCTAAGACTTACAATGAAGATTGAATATATCACAGTATATCAAAAGATGGGCCTATAATAATAATGTTATCTCAATAAGTGTTAGGACCCATTATGTTAGTGGTATATGCTATATGTGGCTAGGTTATATCGAGGGACGAATCCACCATTTGGAACGAATTTGGAAATTAAAAAATACCCTCTTGGAACGAATTATGAAATTTTCAAAAAAATAAAATCCATAAAAAAATCTGTTAAAATCTTAAAAATGCCGAATATCGGAAGGTGCCGATATATGGGGGATATACGATATTGTGGACCTATATAGACAAATCAATTTCTGGGGATAAAACTCACAAAAATTTGCAAAATTGCAGATAATTCCGTTGAAAATGTGGCCAAAGTTATAAAAATATGGAATATCGGGAGTTGCTGTTATACAGGGGCTCGTGGTCCATTCTCTTTCAGGGGGTAAAGTACTCACAAGGAACTCCTTCTGTAGAATTTCAGACAATTCCGTTAAAAAATGTGGCTAAAATCATCAAAATACCGTATATCGGGGGTTCCGTTACATGG